GCCTCTGCTCCATCCCGGGGCCTCTGCTCCATCCTGGGGCCTCTGCTCCATCCTGGGGCCTCTACTCCCTGTGCGTTTGCTCCTTTGTGAGAAGCTGAGTGTGCAGCCATGGGGGGGGGGTCTGCTCTTCCCCTCAGAGAGAGCCCCCATGGTGGGGCTCGGGGCTCCAGGACACTGAGGCAGGATCCCCAGTTGGAGGAAGAAGGGCGGCAGTGGCAGGAGGGGAAGGCACTCTGGGAGGAGGGAGCAGCGTCAGCAAAGCAACAAGGCCGGGACTTTGTTTCCCTGAAGTGGCTGGAGGTGGTCTGGAGTTGAGAGCAGGTGGAGCCTACAAGGGCTCCTGGGCAAGCCGGCCACGTGCAGGCTCGGGTGCCCACTCACCACCCTACCCAGGTGTTTCCTACAGCGGGGGAGGCGGGGGTCGCCACGGCAACAGCTTCCCTGTGGGGCCTGGCCAGCTTCCTGTCTGACAGCCCGTGGTGGATTTGGACCCCACGAGGGAAGGAGGAGCTGGGCCGTGGGGTCCCGGCCAGCGGGAGGAGGGTGGGGGTCGCTGAAGGCCGTGCCCGTCCCGAGGCAGGTGGGAGACTAGCAGCTGGAGCGAGTGCTCGCGCACCTGCGGCGAGGGCTACCAGTTCCGCATCGTGCGCTGCTGGAAGATGCTCTCGCCCGGCTTCGACAGCTCCGTGTACAGTGACCTGTGCGAGGCGGCCGAAGCCGTGCGGCCTGAGGAGCGCAAGACGTGCCGGAACCCGGCCTGCGGGCCGCAGTGGGAGATGTCTGAGTGGTCAGAGGTGCGCATGCGCAGAGCGAGCCGGGCCAGGCTGGGAGGTGGGGGTGTCGGGGGGTGGGGCGCTGGGGGTGTGTCGGGGGTTGGGGCGCTGGGGGCCTGGCGCAGGGCCCTTGCGCTGCGGCTCTAGCAGCCGCGGCCTCGCCCTCACCCCAGCTTCCCCGCAGTGCACGGCCAAGTGTGGGGAACGCAGCGTGGTGACCAGGGACATCCGCTGCTCGGAGGATGAGACACTGTGTGACCCCAACACCAGGCCTGTGGGGGAGAAGGACTGCACGGGCCCTCCTTGCGACCGCCAGTGGACAGTCTCCGACTGGGGGCCGGTGAGGGCGGGCGGGCAGTGGGGGGCGGCGCTCAGAGGGTGTCCCCGCGCGATTACGAGGAATCAAAACCTTTATCCCAAAACAAGTGGTCACATCCCGATGCCCTTTTATAAGCTCCCTGTCTGTCTGTGTGTCTGTCTCTCTTGCCTCGTGCCTGGATGAGACATTCAGGTGCTCACTGGGGTCCCCTCTGAGTGCTGGGTGTACAGATGAGCTTTTCAGGTGTCTTAGGCGTGCTTTTCTCTGTGTGTTTTTCAATGGGCATGCAATCTTTCTGTCATTAGAACAGAAACTGTTATTTAAAACATGGTTACCATGGCAACCCCTCCCCTCCCCCCAGCTGTTCTCCCCTCTTGGGAATGATGTCTGGGGGACCTGGGAGAGGGCTCTGCCTCTAACCCCGGGTGTCCCCTTGCAGTGCAGTGGGAGCTGCGGGCAGGGCCGCATGATCAGACACGTGTACTGCAAGACCAGCGACGGACGGGTGGTGCCCGAGTCTCAGTGCCAGATGGAGGCCAAGCCTCTGGCCATCCACCCCTGCGGGGACAAGAACTGCCCCGCCCACTGGCTGGCCCAGGACTGGGAACGGGTGAGTGCCCCGCGCCCGAGCCGGGTGGCAGGGCCCCCTCCGTCTGGGAGAGCATTTGGCCGAGAGCCAGGCGGCCAGAATGACGGACTGGTCAGACGAGGAACTAACTGGACATTAGGACCAAGTGCATCCTAATTCACACAATTCACTAAACATCCATTTGAAAGAGAAAAAAACAAAAAAGTAAGAAAACCTCTTAAAACTTCCCAAATCTAAATAGCAAATGTTCAACGAGGCATGCAGGGCTGGTATAGTTCCCATGACCCCATGTTCCCGAAAGATGGAAACCCAGGGTTGGGGGTCCTTCTGCTGTACTCGCTCTTGGCTCGTGGGCCCTGTACATCCCTTTGTTCTCACGACCCCTAGACCTGCCAAGGTCACCAACTTACAATTTCAGACGAATTGTTCTCAACCGCACTGCTGTCAACTACTCGCTTCAGGCAGATCACGATGAGCTAAATCATCTGAGGTCGGATGGCCGTTAACCATTTTGTTTCACAGCAGATGGTTTTATGCTAAATTGCTTGTCATTAGATCTGTCTGGGGCCACGTGGTTATCGACCGGAGAGTTCTCGGCCAACTTGCCGTCGACCTAAGCGTTTTCACCCGCTTGCTATTGACCGAGACATTACCACTGGCCTGGCTCTGGGCTCTGTGTTCTGGTCCTCCTGGCCTCTGGCCCTTGACCCCTGACCCGGCCCCGTCTGTCACCCTGCCTCAGTGCAACACCACCTGTGGCCGAGGTGTGAAAAAGAGGCTGGTACTGTGCATGGAGCTGGCCAACGGGAAGCCGCAGACGCGCAACGGCCCCGAGTGCGGCCTGGCCAAGAAGCCCCCGGAGGAGAGCACGTGCTTCGAGAGGCCCTGCTTCAAGTGGTACACCAGCCCCTGGTCTGAGGTAAGCGCCTGGCTGGCCCCCCGCTGAGGTCACCTGAGGCCAGGCCTGAGTTCTGGTCCTGCCAAAGTACCTCCTCTCTCGCCCCAAGTGCCCCTCATGTCCCCCCCTCAGCCTCCGTCAGGGCTTTTCACCCCTGGAAAGATTGTCAGTGCTACCAAGTCAGCTGGTGCAAGAGCCACCTCCTCCAGGAAGTCCTCTTGGATCTCACCTCTGGGATCCCTGCCATGCTCGTCCTGGGCCGTTGGGGGCCCAGGTCACTTCCGGCCTTGCACTGTAGCCTTTCAGTCGTGCATTTGACAGCACGTGTGCCTGACACCCAACACGGGGCAGACAGATCCCAGGTGGGTACCGGGACTGTGTGGGGCTGACTCAGATATGGCCTCGGTCCCGGGAGCCAGAGTCAAGGCAGGAGGGACACAGGACTGGAGAGGCAGAGGGGATGGCAGGACATGTGCACTGTGGGCAGAGGGAAGCCAGAGGAATGGCCGCCGCTGCCCTGACACAGGCCTGGCCCCTCCACGGCCCTGCGGGCTCCTCGGCCTCAGGCTGGCGGGTGGCTTGGAGCCGAGATCTCTCTGCTCTCTACAGCCGGGAGCAGAACCCTCACCTCCCAGGCCCCGAGGCCCCTGTGGGTGGGCCGGTCCCAGCACTTTGCCAGACGGGCTCCTTTCCTCCGCCCAACGGCACCCCGGGAGGGGGCTCCTCTTCCCATCCCACGGGGGAATAAACCCAAGTTCAGAGAGAGAGCTGACCCCCAGCTCCTGGGGCGTGAGCAGACATTGGACGCTGCTCCGGGTGGGCCGAGAGCTGTGCAGAGTGAAGGGAGGCCCTGAACCGGCCCATCCTAATGAGAGCAGGGCAGGGCGGGCCCTGAGGCGCGTGGGGCTGGGCTGAGCCGGGAGAGCAGCCCTGGTCCGCAGACCCCACCCCGCCCCAGTTCCCTGGCCGAGCAGAGGGGGTCCTTTAGCTTCTGCCTTTTCTCTCCTGGCCCCTTTCCTTTCCTGTGGAGGCCTCCCGGCAGGATCCCAGGGCACCCGGGGGTCGTCAGCATCCTTCAAGCCTTTCTTACAGCACAGGGGCGGCTGTGTCTAGACTTGGGTTCTTACTGATTCATACCGTCTCCCTGATGTCTCCTTACAGCAGCGTCACCAGTCCTGTGCCCCAAGTCCCCCTGCACTTGGTGGTGCTATAGCTCCCAGGAGGGCGCAAGTAGGGAGGCCCACGGTGGTCTTTGCACAGGAGCCTGGGAGCATTGGGGGAGGGGCGCCCCGTGTTGCCCTGATGATTGTGGGTGGGCAAGGGGTGAGCGGCCCGTGGGGACGTGGACCTCTGTCCTTTTGTCCCTGGTTGGGATGGTGTCTGCTTCCCCTGTGGCTTCCCCTTCCCGGGATAGGGGCTTAGAAAGAGTGCATCCTCCCAGCTGTCCCATCTACTCAGGGGCCGAGGGACAGCCAGAGGTTCCTCAGGGCACCCATCCAAGGCTGACTGTTGTCTGTGCTTGGTACCTCCAGACTGGGCCAGCCCCCCGCCAGGCTGGGAGCGGGCATTGGGCAGGCAGCCCTCCCTGTGCCTCTGCAAACAGAACCAGAGTGTGGGCCAGGGCCAGGGCCTCCCACCCCAGACCCCACTCGGGAAACAGAGGGCTCGGGTCCCAGACGTGCCTGGGTGACGTGGGGTCACCCACATCGGGGCAGCCAGAGGGAGCCACCGCCTGTAGGATCTTGGCAGGAGGACGGCGGGGTAACTGGGCTCAGCAGATGGCCCTGGTGTTTGGGTAGCTCAGCGGGGTTTTCCAAGGGGAACATCTGGACTCTGGGAGCCGGTGAGGCGGTGGCTTTGGAAGATACATGTAATTGGTCCACTACAAACACAGCTTGTTATTGGAGTGGGAAACCAGCACTCTCCCTGGGCCGTGGCCCTGTGTGTCCTGAGCATTCGGTAGCACAGGACCCAGGAAAGCTACAGCCGAAGGACCCACCCGGCCGGGGGTGGGGGGGGACAGTTGAGAGAGGAGACGGCCACACCCTCACGGTGCAGACGGGGAAACTCAGCAGCCCCGGGGGAGGGGGGACGAGTCTTAGCGTCTCCTGGCTGCCAGCCAGTGCCCTTCCACGTGTCCCGTGTCGGGTAAGACTCGGCAGCCAGGTGACAGGGGTGGGATCCCCCACCTCTGGCCAGAGCCCTTGCCCCGCCGGTGGGGGCTTGGGCCATGCCATCTCTCCCCGACCAGTGCACCAAGACCTGCGGGGTGGGAGTGCGGATGCGAGACGTGAAGTGCTACCAAGGCACCGACATCGTCCGGGGCTGCGACCCGCTGGTGAAGCCCGTTGGCAGACAGGCCTGTGACCTGCAGCCTTGCCCCACGGAGCCCCCAGGTGAGGGGGAAGAGGCTGAGGGCGGGGCAGGGGCTTTCCTGGGAGAGCAGAGGCTGGGCTGCGCCAGGGCCTGCGGGATGAGCAGGCATCGGCCAGGGTGACCGGGAGGGCCTAGTGGCTACAGGGACCAATGCGTGTCGGGGAGTGAAGGTTCCTCCTGGAGTGGCTGAGCCCAGGCTGGGAGGTGAGGGTGGGAAGGGCGGCAGGTGAGAGCTGACTGGAGCTTGGGGTCCCCAGGAGCCATGCCAAGACCTGCACTTTGGAGACAGCATCCGGCTTCAGAAGATGGGAGGGCAGCTGTGGGGCAGGGGACCAGGGAGCCAGGAAGACTTAGCCAGAGCGCCCCCGAGCTGGGCACGCAGGAGCCGGGAGGCGAGGGGCTGAAGCAGGGTCTCTGGCTCGGGCACCTGGAAGATGCGTGAGGGTACTAGGCTCCGAGGGGGCACCAGGGCCGGGTGATGAGCTCTGCTTTGGACCTACTGAGTGGAAGGGGCACCTGTGGGCCTCCCGGGTAGGTTCAGGCCTCCAGGGGTGAGATCAGTGGCTCTTCCAGATCCTGGGCCCTGGGCATTACCCTTCCCTGTGCACCGTTCACATCAGTTGGTGGGGTCTGTGACATCCCTGGAGTGGGGCGGAGGCAGGGAAGCAGGGGCAGAGAGGTAGAACTCAAGGAGAGGAGGCGGTGGGGTGGGGCCGTCACCCCTGACCGCCTCCTGATGCCCTACGCCCCCCGCCGTGTCCCCTCCCCAGACGACAGCTGCCAGGACCAGCCGGGCACCAACTGCGCCCTGGCCATCAAGGTGAACCTCTGCGGCCACTGGTACTACAGCAAGGCATGCTGTCGCTCCTGCCGGCCCCCCCACTCCTAGGCCCGGCGGCCGCTCCTCAGAGACCGAGCACCCCATCCCTGGGGCCACAGCAGCCCCTCCACGGACACCCTCCGTGCAGGGCGCCCCGGCTGTGAAGACGTGACACTGAGCCCCTGCTCTCTCCCCGGGCAGGAGAGCCCCTCCCCTGACCCCCAACCCCCGAGCGCGCCCGTCGGCCCTCCCAGGACAGAGCCGGGAGGACTGGCGCGTTTGTGGCTCCCACCCGGGGGCCTGGGAACATCCTCTGTCCCTCCAGGGCTGTGGGGGTGAGGAGAGGGGGATGGGCAGCCAGGGAGACGGGGCGCCTGGGATCCTGATGCTGTCTAGGTGACTCCTTCCGGAGGAATTTTAATCTCACGACGTAGCATCGCTCGCCTCCCTGATACGAAGCTCTTGGCACGGAGGGACCCACCGCACTTTACACCTGGGAAGAGGCGTTTTTCTCACAGCACCATGGCTGTGCTGTCGTCCGTCAGTGCTCTCTGTACGTTAATAAAGTGGTCCTATTTATGGCGGCATCTTGGGGTCTCCGGGGTCTGCCAGGCGGGGTGGGGTGGCCGTGAGGCTTCGGGAGCTGGGGCCGCTGTCTAGCTCGCCCATTCAGAAGGCTCTGCTGCGGCCTCAGGTCTGGGACCAGGTGGGGCTGGGGGCCGGGCTGCAGCGTCTCCCTGAGGAGATGACAGGGGAGAGTGGACAGAAGGTGACAAAAAGAGTGGGTGGCCTGCGGGGAGGGGTCTCAGGGGCATCAGGACTCGGGCGCTGGAGTCCGAACCGAGCCCATCTCGCACCTCCCAACTGCTGTGGGGCTTGGGGGACAGCGGAGCCCAAGGGAACTCCCTCACCCGAACCACGGGAGGAAGAGGTGAGGCAGGCAGGGTGGGAGGCGCGGTGTGGGCCCACATGGAGTACTCAGGAAATAGCCACCACTACTGTTTCTGGGCCTCTCAGAAGGGCTACTTAATCTAGACTTGTGGGTGCCGGGACACAGGAGGGCTTCCTGGAGGAGGTGATGTTTAGGCTGGTCCAGCCGCGGGAGTTCTTCCAGATGAAAGCGGGGTGTGGGGGGGCGGGTGGAGTGTGGAAACGGAAAACTTCCAGGGAGAGGGTGGGCGCGGAGGTGCCGAAAGGGACGATGGGGGTGTCCACCCGCCGAGGGACAGCGACGTGGCACAGGGCCGAGGATGCCGCAGGGAGGGTCTTTGGGGACGGGGGCAGGGAGGCGAGGGGCTACCTGACTGCTTCCCCGGGATGCAGGGCCAGCCTGTCCCCAAACTGGGACCAGAGCGGGGTCCACCACAGTGTTTAGGATGGCATCCAGGGGGCTGCAGGTGGGTGAGTGGCTCTCCAGGTTCGCTGGGGCCTGTGGGGTGAGCTCCCTCAAGGTCAGCAGCTCAGTTCCGGCAGGGGTGGGTGGCCGCACTGCAGGGGTCTGGGGCTCCCTGACACACCGCACCGTTGTGCCCTGTCATTTCCCCCCACCCCCATCTTTTCTCTCCTTGTGACCTTCCTCCCCCATCCTCCTTTCCACCAGCACTTTCTGTGCGCATCCTGTGCGCCAAGGTCTGTGCCCAGTGCGTTACCAGCGCTGCCTCTTTAACCCCAAGAGCCCCGTGGAGTCGGTATCATTGTCACCCATTGCGTTGATGCTAAGACCCGTGCCCAGAGAGGTCAGTCACTTGCCCCAGGTGGCTCAGCCTGCCACCCCCCACCCACCCTCCAGGAGCTCAGGGTTTAGGCCAGTGGCTTCCAATTATGGAAGACTGACACATCCACCCCGGGAAAATCTAAACCAAACATGGCTGCGGCCGGGCGCCTTTGGGCAGTGCCGTGACCCCTGGGGCTGGACGGGAGAGGAAGGCCAGCTCTGCCCGGTGCTGGGCTGGATACGGCCCCACCCGCCGGAGAGGGGTCTGGGCTAAGACCCCCACCCCGGAGAGGGGTCTGGGCTGGCCTGGAATGTCAGGCAGACCAAAGACAGCACACGGTGTCAGGAGTTTTATTGGCTCTCGAATCCGTCAGAGAGCAGGCAGCTCCCCGCAGGTCCCCATGGTGGAGCCGGGGGAGTTCGGATGGATGGGTGCGTGTTGATGTCAAATGGATCTAGGAATCTACACAGAGGCCAGAGACCAGAAAAGGAAATAGGAAACCGAACAGAACAGCCGCAGGAAGCGCCACCTCCTGACCCTCACCCCCCTCCCCACCCCCGCCCACCCCGCCCAGCTAATGCATCAGAAACAAACTCACGGGCTGTGACAAAGGAAGGGGAAGCTTGGGGATGAATTCCATTAGCAAGTCCAAACTGAGGCAGGAGGAGAAAGGAAGAAGGTGGGGGCGGGGGGGGGGGGGGAATCGACAGTGCCAAAAATAGTAAGCCTTCCTAACTCTGCTCACGTCCGGAGTCACAGCTCAGCAGCACTTTGGAGAAAGAGCAGAAGTGCGGTGCTCAGGCCGCCCACAGCTCGGGGATAGCCACGTGCCCCGAAGGTTTGTCTGTTAGGAAGGTGGCTTAGCTGGGGAGCCTGGTCCGTCTTCCTGGGCAGACGGGGCTGCCCTGCCAGGGTGGGGGCTGGCTCTATGGCTGGGCCCAGAGGCAGAGAGAGCCCGGGAGAGGGCAGGGGACTCTGGGGGCCATGCTGCCGAGAGGAAACGGTGCCTCTGCGTGGACGGGGCTGCGTGCCCCGCGGGTGGTGCCCCTGGGTTTGGGGCATTTCTCGAGCTGGACGGCGGGGGAGCCCCTAGCCCTGCTGGGAGCGTGCGCACGGGGCCGGAGCAGGGAAAGGGCAGCCTGGGGTCTTGCTTCCAGGTCCTCCTGAGAAACTGGGCAGGTGGCAGAGCTCGGGGGTCTGTGCCCCGGGTCATGAAAGCAGGAGGGCTCTGGGGGGGCCCCGTCCCAGGTCTCACGGGGAGTCAGTGGGTCATTTAGCCCCTGTCCATGGCTGCGTCCGCCTTACCGCATCGGGGCTGAGGACTGGACTGGGCATTTTAGTGTGGACACTGCCGACGCGGGGGGAGCAGCACGTGGCCTCCTCCCCACTCCATTTTCACCAAAAAGCCAGTCGGGGCTGTGCATCCCAAGGGAGCTCCCCCTTCTAGGGAGATCTGCCCAGCTGGGGGCCCAGCTCAACCAGTGTCTCAGCCTCCTGGCGCTTAAAGCCAGGGTGTGTGTGGGAGGGGCGGGGGGAGGCCCTGTTCTGGGCCGGGGTGCCTGGTCTGCAAGTCGCCAGGTGAGGCTTGTGCTGCAGGGCCCCTAGCATCGCGGCTACCACCCCTTCTTTGAACAAGTAGGTAGACTGAGGCCCAGGGAGGGAGGCACACGGCCAGCGGTGAAGCCGGAGATGCCGACTTGCTGGGGCTGAGACGGAGGCCACCTTCCACGGCCCCCTCCCTGACGGCAGCACTGGTAGCAGCAGCCTGGGGTCTATGCTCCAGAGCCCTACCTCACCCTGCAGCCTGCCACCCGGATGCTACCGCACACCTGTGCCCGCATCATGCCCGCCTCCCTTCCGGACCCAGGCCCCGGGGGCCACCACCCAGGGCGGCCACACTACTTTCACTGGGTCTGACCCCCGCAGCGAGCCCCGGAGCTCCCCAACGGGCCCCCGTGAGGACGCGGTTGTGAGGCAGGCTGGGCCGAGCCTGGGTCCCGGCCCAGGGCCAGGCTGGGACGCCGTGGGGACCCCACCGTGGTCTCAGGACCTGTCGGCGGCCGGGGGCGCCCTCAGACGTCGGTGCTGATGCTGCGGCTCCGCGAGAAGGCCTCCCGCATGGCCGAGAGGCGGCTGGGGTTGAGGGCCTGCAGGGCCCCGAAGCTCCCAGGCGGCAGCGCCACGTCCTCCCGGCTGACGCTCTTGTGGGCGACGCGCTCCCCGCCGTTGCGCACGCCCTCGTCCTCCTGCAGGAAGAAGGTGGGCGGCTCGTAGTGGGAGCAGCTGCGGCAGAGGGCGCGGGCCTGCGGGGACTTCTGGCTGAAGGAGGCGGCGGTGGCCGGGTGGAGCGCCGGCCCGTTGGTCAGCACGAGGCTGCGGTGCGAGTGCAGTGGGGGCAGGTGCGAGTGCACGGCGAAGTCGGGCTCCTCCTCGTCTTCCTCGGACTCCTCCTTCTTGCAGCAGTAGTACTGCGGGCAGAGGGCCACTGTGACCGCCGGCTCCCCGGCTCCCCTCACTGCAAGTGTGCGGCACCCAGCTCAGACACCCGCGTCCCTGGCACCACCACTCACGGGAGCTCGTAATCCAGGCACCCCGGACTCCCGGGATCCCTAAGTGAGGGATTCGCTCGTTTCAGCCCACGGCAACTGGGGGCAGGTGCAACGGCCAACTCCATTTTGCAGGTGGGGAAACTGAGGCACAGGGGGTGCAGGCAGCCTGAAAGCGGCAGAGCTGGGATTCGAGCCCAGGCAGTCTGGTCCCAATCTAGTTCCAGGGCACCAAGCCGTGCTGCCTTGCCCTATGCACGTGGCTTCCTGTCCTCTCTCAGGAAGAAAGATGCGGGGGACCTAGGACAGCCCTAGAGTGTGGGTGGGGCAGGGAGTGCACAGGTGGTGGAGTAGCACCGCCCAAGGGCTCACCCCTGCTCCCCGCTTGGCAGCTGTGTGACATCTGCAAAGGCCCTTACCCTCTCTGAGCCTCAGCGGACTCACCTCACAGGGAGTCTGGGGAGCCGTCATCACCGAGCCCTCACAGGTGGAGTCCGGGGGTGCCGTCTGCCTTGCACCTTCTTGGAGACCTGACTCTTCCGCCTTCCTGGGCCCTGGCTCCCTCCCTCTGCAGGGCCCCCTCCAGGCTTCCCTCCCCCCGCCCCCCCCCCAGCTCCCGGAGTACCTGGAGCCGGCAGTAGCACAGAACCGCGATGATGCAAAGCAGAATCACAGTCGCCAAGATGCCCCCGGTGATGACCACAGTTCCGGCTGTCATCCGCCCCCTTCTCCATCAACAGCCTGCAACGCACAGCACCAGCTTCACCACGTTGTCAGCTCGTTGCAGAAGGAAGCTGTTCTAGGTTAGGAGGTTGAGGAAGCGCTCCGAAAGGGAAAACAAAAAACCCAACTGCGTGCAGGAGGCAGCGGCTGGGCCTGGGGGTCAGGTGGGACATCCCCCTCTGCCTCTGCCTCTGCCTCTGCCAGCAGTTTCCACACCTCTAGGAGATGATGCTAACAGCACACCCCCTCGCTCTCAGGGGTCCCTGTAGGTTTCTTGAGCACGTATGTGAGCGCTTAGCCTAGCACGCTTTCAGCCCGGGCGACAAGCTCACGCATTTAAAAATTTACCCAAATGCAGTCGGGCTGAACGTATGGTTTTGTAACCGGCTTTGTCACTTCACCAGCGCATCCTTATTTTTCCTTACCATTAAATTTTCTTCTGTAACATAATTTCGAACCATATTCCATTTTATAACATAACCGATCCTTTTTTTTTAACATTTCAAGTCACCAGTAAAATACACGTGACGTAAAATTTACCATCTTGACCGTTTTTAAGTGTACAAGTCAGTAGCGTTAAGTACATTCGCTTGCTTGCAACCGACTTCCAGAACTTTCTCATGTTTCGAAACTGAAAACCAAACTCCTTTTTGGTGTTTAGACTGTTGACGTTAAAAAATAAATCTTAAGCCAACGTTTCCATACATGTTTGCGTAGCTAAAAACGGAAGCCACTTGAATTGCAGGACCGACTTCAATTACCTGTCCAGGATAAGTTCTCAGAAGTGGGATTTCTAGGCCTAAGGATGTGCCCCTCGTAAACTACTGTGGAAAATTTCAAACACACACAAAATAGAGAGGATGCACAATGCGGTCACCAGCGGTGCCCCTGTGAGCGCTGTCCGGCCGGGTGCTGATAAACTAGTTCTTGGAGCGAAAGCACCCTGACCTGTGGCGTTTGCTGATGCTCGTGCCGTAAATATTCTCACTGTGGCCCATTTCAAGTGGCTTTAACAGCCGGCTTGCCGTATCTCTGGACGGTTAACAGTCATCTCTGAGGCACCAGCTTCTGCTGAGCACACCCTGCCTCAATTTCCACCCCCTACCTTTTTTTTTTTTTTTTCCCACCAGGGGAATAGCATGGCACGGGCAATTGAGTTCCCTAAAGAAATCCCAGAGTGTATTAGTTCACTCATAAATACTTCAGTGCGGAATCTGACAGGTGAGGACCTTTAAAAAGCCTCCAGTCATCTCCACAACGTCTTTTTACAGTTGGTTTTGCGCAAATCAGGATCCAGTTTGCCCCTTTTGACTGTAGAAGAGTTCCCATCCACTCTCGCCCCTCCCCGCCCCATGCTGTTTATAGAAGAAACTGGGTCATTTATCTTAGAGGATTTTCCATGTACTAGAACTGGCTGCATTTCTCCCAGCACCATTTCATACGTCCCTCCATCATGGTTTTGTCCTCTAAACTGGCTTCCTATCGCTTCACTTTCAGGGCCCCACGCTGTCCTTGTCGTGATGTTGAGACTTGCCGGTGGGTTCAGCTGCCGTCAGCCCAATCCTCCCACCGTAAAATTCCCCATCAGCCTTCCACCTCATCCTTTCAGCAGCCGCTGGAAATCATAGCCTACGTCTGTTATTTCATTAGGAGTTGCAAATAGCGACTTTTCAGATGCTGTCATTTCTTCTGCGTGTATCAGCTCTGGTTCTTCTCTAAAGAACCTTCCCCATTACCTATCCGGTAATATTAAAAGACAGTCTGCAGAGGAAAGGCGTAGACGCTCAGTTCGTAACTTTTTCAATTTTCAGAATAAGTTGGTGCCCCGTGAGACTTGTGGTCGCTCTACAGTATCACTGTGATCTCACTGACTTGTATATACATCTGATGTGTTTTAAGCCACTGCAGTCATTATTCTTTTTGATGTTCAGATGATCCCACTGGGACAGTGGGTTTGGAAGCACCTCCAGGTTGACTCCGGCGTCATTTTGGTGGGACTCCACTAACCCTTGGTCGCATGTTGCTTTTAGGCATAAGATGTCCCAGCTTATCTCCTGGGACACCCTGGTTCTCTTGCTGGGAAGTGGTTCTGGAGAACACAGTCTGGGCACTAGGGGTGCTAGCTGCTCCTGGGTTTCCAGGTTTTCCCGGTGGCCAGAGCTCAGAAAGACTTTTTTTTTAAGGAACAGAAAAATGAACTGAGTTTATACTGATATTTCCATTTAAAATTAGAGATCAAAGGGTTTTTACGTGTTAAAACGTGATGTCTATGTGACCTTTACAGTGCAAATTTTATTTCCTAATAACATGCACTTCATTATTTGCTTTTTCCCATCATATATAATAATTTAAAAGTAGTGTTACCGATGTTTTTACTAACAAGTCTACTGAATGGAATTTGATATCTGTTATTTTTTTTGTTCTTGTCCCCTTAGGGATGTGTAGTAGAAAGACTGTTTCAAAGTCACTTGAAATAATTCTTAGTACGGTTTTCTTTCCACCACCTTGATATTCAGGTTCATTTATTCTAGTTTTTACTTTCTTTAAAAAAACTGATTTAGCTTTGCTCTTTAATTGTAGAAAACATTTGATTCCAAAGTCAAAAGCGTAAAACCAGGTGCATTCAGAGAGGTCTTGCACGCCCAGCCCCCTCCCCCGAGCCACCGCCCACCCTACTCTGCCCAGAAGTAACCATTTCACTTAGTTCTGGGTTTATCCTTCCATTGCTTCTTTCTAAAAATATAAGCAAATATAGATTTCCTTCTCCTCCTGAGCGAAAGTGGCATTCTATCTACACCCTCCATACCTCCCCTTTTCACCCAGTAGTCTCTCCCCAGATACACCACGTTTCCCTAGGGGCGGGGTTACCCCCAGGGGCCCCTAGAGCTCGCCCCGCGGCGTGAAGGGGCCCCACTCACTCAGCCAGGCCCTGCGGGCCGGGATCTGCGTTACCTCCCACGTCTCGCGATTACAGGAACGTGCCGCGAAGCGCTCTGTGCCGTGTGCGTTTCTCAAGCTGTTGATACGCCAAAGACTTGATGGAATTTGGGCCGATTTGCTCCCTCCCAGGAATGTGTGAGAACCGACAGACGGGGTTTCCGTTGGGAGACTCGGGGGGTCTGGGCGGTCGGTGGGTCAGAAGTGAGGGAGGCTGCGCCCCGCCTGGTGAGGCTGGCTGCTCAGCGGTTCCCCACAGGCTCGTCTGCAGGGTCAAGTGGACTGGCAGGGAGTGGCCGGGCAGGGACGCCGGGGACGCTGGTCTATAGGTGGAGGAGGACGTGAACGTGTGCTCACGAGGGGTGGGGGGAGCGTCCTGTGACAGAGGCACAGCTGGGATGGGAACCCAGACCCTGAGCAGACAGACAGATGGACTGAAAGGTACATCCAGACAGGCCCAAAGCGACGAGACAACGAGACCCAGACTCACAGACAGCTCCAAATTCAGACAGACAGAGGTGCAGACAGGCAGATCCAGACAGCTGGACCAATAGGGCCCGGTCAGGAAGACACAGTGCAGGCCACACAGACAGAGCAGCAGCCCCAGGGACCCCTGCATTTCTGGGCGCCCTGCCGGGCAGCTCCGGCCTTCCTCGGCCCCCAGGGTGGCTGAGGCCAGCTGGCCCACCAGCCCTGCCAAAGGTGCAGGCCGACCGGGGCCGGATCCAGGGAGCTGGGTGTGCAGAGGAAGCAACCAGCGGAGGACGCTGGGCAGGGCCAGGCCTGCCGTCCAGATGCGTTTCACGCTCTTCACGGAGGTGAGGCAAAGCAAAGCACGCAGCTGCTGGCGGGGCGCTGCGCCCCACGCCCCCAAACCCTTCCCCCTGGGGGCTCACAGGGACACCCCGGCTTGTCTCAGCCTGACCTTGGAGTGGCCAGAAAGCGGGCAGTGGAAGGGACCCCTGACGGCTCTCCCTGGTCTTTGTGGCAGCCGTGGGAGGGCAGAGCAGGCACTGGGACCCCCAATTTGCAGACGAAGAGACCGAGGTTCAGAGAAGGCCAGGGTCCCTCCTGGTGACCCAGCCAAAGCCAGCCCCCCATTCAGGGCCACTGATCCACGTGTGTCATTCTGGCTAATGGGCCCATCGCAGCTGAAAGCCACGTGTGACCCAGCGCCTGCCGCGGGAAATCCAGGGCCTCCCAGGCCCAGAGGGCTTCAGCAGCCTCCGTACTCCCTGCCGCTCCGCTGGCCACGGCTTGCTGGGGCTGGGACGGAAAGGCGCCAGCCCCCCCCACGCCGGGCCAGCCCTCTTCTCTCTCCCGGGAAGTGGAACCAGGACCTGGAGACTGGCCAGTCCCTGCTGGTCCCTTGACCTTGGGTAGAGACATGGGCACTCAGGCTGCAGCCAGGGCGGCATGTGTGTGGAGGTAGGGGAGTTGGTCCAGGCGGGAAGAGAGGAAGGACGCAGGTGCCCAGAGAGAGCCAGGCTGTGGTCCCAATTCACGGGATTCCGTTTCCCTCCCTGAGACCCTCAGAGGGACTCTTGCTGTGAACACATCAACCTTGGGTGTGGTTCTGCCATTTGTACCCCCAAAAAGATCATTATGGCCCTACTTCATGGATGAGGGGACTCACTGGGCTTGGGAAAGGTCAAGGAGGAGGTCAAAGTGCAGGAGTTAAACTCAGCGCCCCCAACACCCCAGCCGGATGGACCCCTGGGAGCCAGCCCGGCTCTGCCCCCAGTTAGCTGCAAGCGTGGGGCTTCGAATACCTCCATTTCTCTGTGCCTCAGTTTCCTCCTCTGTAAAACGGAAGAACATGGAGGATTCCACCCCGCGGCAGGTGTGCTGTGCTCAGTTTCCTATTGTTACTATGTCTCTCTCTCTGCCTCTCAACCCTCTATCAGGTCCCTGAGGGCGTGGCCACGGAGCCTCTCCCCGGGTCTGAGACACAGATGGCCCCTCGCTCTGCCCGGCTCTGGGTGGGGGGCCTCCAGCCACAGGCAGCCTGGCGGCGCGATGGGAAGGACCCCGGCACCGGCCAGGCGCCCAGGACTGTCAGCAGGCACAGCTCCAACACTCTTGCCCCGTCCAGCTGGAGCGTCTCAGCCTCACTCTGCAGATACACGCACGCCGATGGGCAGCAACGCCCGAGCCGGGCGCCGCTCCTGGGACCAGGCCCGGGCAGCAGACGTGCACGCACACCAC